CCGTCATTCACAGGTGGAACAACTTTGCGTTCTGGTTCAGGCATTGGAAGCTCACTAGCGATCTTATCTTCAGGGAAAGCTCTTGGGGGACCAAAACATGTGATCATGAGCTTGGAAGGAACGGCATTTCTTATTCTACAACTGCGTTTAAGGTTCGTCCATTCTTCACTACCAAAGTCATGAATCTCTCCTGTGTTACGGTGAAGGCTTACAGTGTGACGTATGGTGTTCACCTGTCGATCAGGAAGGTTCAAAGGCAGTTGCATTCGTTCTGTTCCTCTACACACAAAAATCACCTGAAGATTCATGAGTGGCACCAAAGCTTGTACCTGAGCAAACACCGCATGACTAGCATCAACCAAGAGATTGCCCACACGTGGAGCGATAACTTCCATGCTTTGGAAGATAGCTCTCCAAGCTTCATTCGCACGAGGAACTGAGGGTGGTCCTTTTGGATCACTCAGCTGAGCATTCTCTCTGGCACCGCTTGCTACGGGTTGCAGTTCAGGGGCATGATGCTGTTGCTGACTCTCCTCAAGTTGGGACTCTTGAGATGGGACCACATTGTTTTCCTCCACGCTAGGTTGGCTAGGAAGGGGTACACTTGAGGCTGATGTTGGAACGCTGGGAGTAAAAGCATCTGCATCAAGGTCAATCACGTGAGATGACTTGAAACGTTTTTGAGGATTGTTGGTAAATCGGCTTCTCTTTGCTGGAGGCTCATCTTCATGTTCACCCACCATGAGTTCATGTTGCATGTTTTGAATCAACCATCGAGCAATTTTGTGAACAAAGCCAGAACTATAGGTTGCACAGAATCTCGTCAGTGGCAAGCGGTGTCCATTGACATTGACACTTCCTTCGATCGGCTGATGCATGTGTCGGTGATCACACCTCGAGGCCTGCAACTTCACAACCATCGAGTGATCTGTGGAAAACACTTGACTGGACTTTCGGAGAAATCTGCGGCTGATCGGATGTTTTAAACCAAACATACACATGTCAAAACTGGCTCTTTCGGTGGTTTCTCTGATGGCTTGAAACGCAGGCAGCTGAGGCATGGTGGAACCATTGGGTTGTTCCAAGTGAAAATGACGGCTCCTCTTAACCTGAAAGGCACAGAGTTGGGAACACAGCTCCACGTGACATGCCTCACGTTTTTGCCAGGCCATCACTTTGTCAAACAAGGCAACACTCTTGAACATGTTGAGACGATTCCAACCTCCCCAAGGACCACATTCAGGTGCTACCCATATGTTTAAAGGTTGGTATTCATCAATGAGTTTCCACAGGGCTTTGCGTCCTTCGGTGGTGGACAAGTCTCCGTCTTTTCGGGTGAACCTGATGGCAAAGTAACCCAATTGGTTCATGGCATCGGTCAGTGGGCTGTTTAAGTCTGCATACACTTCCAGCAGAATGCATGGCTTTCTGGGCAGGCTCCAGGCTGGGGATACAAAGGCTTCATGAAGAATCCCTTCGACATCATTCAACGATTCTTGAAGACCAACATTGAACAAACCAGGAACCGCACTTTTGGACAATTGTTGACGAACTTGGTGAACCTCATCATGAAACTCTTGATCCACTAAATGTATGGAGGTCTGGGATTCTAAGCATGTTGTTCCAGATCTTGCTGCACTCGGCAATATCGAACGAAATCCTGAATCTCTGGTGTCAGGCTTCCGTAGCGGGCATTGGCCCACTGGAAGTATCCAGGATCGCGATGATAGACCTGGGCATATGTTTGGCCCTTGTGCTTCTTTCCCCAACTGATTCTGACTTGGCCCCAATCCCCAATTGTCATCTGTGCAGAGGCTCTTGGAGCCGAGCTCACTGGCAAAACTGGGACTGCCGGACTCACTTCCATGCGGCGTCCATCGATATCGAGGATCACCTCCTCCTCGCTTTCCTCCAAGACTTGCCAGTTGGTCACACGGCTGGAAACTACAGTTGCTGTCTCCGGTGCTGTGCTTTCGTTCTGGCGTTGCAGTGCTTGGGACACCCTCTGAGAGGACATTGTCAGGCTGTTCACATCTTGAATCCTTGGTATGACCACGTTCGGTGGTGTCTTTGGAGCAGGACGCACGGGTGAGCTTTCTGTTGGCATTGACGCGCCAGTGGAATCTCGGGCAATCGGCAGCTGGCTTCCTTGGGACATGAGGCTTTGTAGCATCATTCGTTGATTCTGCAATTCTTGGACCATGCTGGAGAGGGTGTTCATCATTTCTGGTGGATTCTCGGGACTTTCGGGGTGCATCTCCAACTGCTGAATCATGAACTGGAGCAACATCGTCAGGAGGCTCACTACGGCTTCCGCCACAGTGCGCAGTGAGCCCATCATGGGAGCAGTTGGCATGTTTGTCAACTGACAAAGGCTGGTCAGGCACCGGTAATGCGGTAGGCTTGGATGCTGGCTTAGCCAAAGTCAGCGCGATATTTTCCACACGTGTTTCATTCTTTGGAACTTCACATGACAACACAGGACCCTGTGAACAATTCACTCCCTTCGATTGATCACTCCATGAATTGTCAAGCTTTGAAAATGTTTTAAAAAAACTGTTTGATGATGGCGAAGCACACAGCTGACGAACATCAATGAGATACAATTCGGTTGCATTCAACTCAAGTGGAATCTGCCGGTCAAGTCTTTGCAAATAGCAGGTATCGTTGGTGGTATTCAAAATTCCCCCAAGTTGCTTGAATGCCCTCTTGCTGAACAAAAAGGGGGTACTGCCAGGCAAAACTTCAATTGTCAAAAGGAGCTTTCGGCCGGTTCCCTGGGAGCTGTACATGGGCATTTGAACCTGATATTCACTCTGGAGGGTTTGATTGTTTCCAAAACGGAATTTGACTTGACTGGGTTTCCTACGGATCTTCTTCTGAAGGCTTTCCGGCAACTGTTCAAACAACTTCAGCCAAACTCTTTCGCCAATGACGCAACGACTGGCTCCAGTATCTAAAATGGCATGACATGGCTTGTTGCATGACGCGGCCAAATTGCAAACATCAGGCAAAGGCTCAGGCTGCTTCCAAGCTCTTGGAACACTCATCGCAGGGCTTTGCTGATCGGTTCGGCTGCAGTTCACTGAGAAAGCATACCTGGGCAAGGTCGGATGCTCTGTCTGGCGATGGACGCCGGCAAAGACTTTTCGGATCCTATCCCTGAGTTTATTCTTTATCATGGGATCATGCAATGCTTGTACAACATAGGCATCATGTATGGTTTCATCTTGCTTATGGCTCATGAACATGGAGTACAAAACATTACTTTGAGACATGAAACCCTGGACATCTTCGGTTCCGGAGAGCAAGGACTCAGGTTCAGAAAGAACTTCATGAACATCGACAACGGACATCTCTTCAGCTACATTGGCGGCTGCTGTGGGATTCATATCGGATGCTTTATCCCGGTTCGGACACTCTGCTTTCCAGTGGCCCTTCTGGTGGCAAATACGACATGTGGATCGGGCGATCCTGGAGAGAAGCTGTTCCCTTTGACGCTTCCCCTTTCCACGACCCTTGAACTTGCCACCTGCTTTGCCACCTTTGTCACCAAACTTCACTGGCCAGAAGCCGCGGCTGCGGCGCTTTTCCAACAGTTTGGAACGTGCCTCCAAATAGGAGACCATAGCATCATGCATATCCGGGACATCCTGCAAGAATTCTTCAAGCTCTTGTTCAAAAGAGCTCACTGTCAACGCATCCTGGTCCTCAGCAGCAATCATGATGTCCATGAACTCGGCATCGAGGTCAAGGTCGGGCTCCTCAGTCATTGTCACAAAGGCACGCTCTGCTGACACATCATCAGGAGACCTGGAGTCATAGTCAATCGTTTCAGACACATTGACATCGTATACCTTGGTCTTGGCACCTTGGCGATTCCCTTGAACCTCAGAGAAAAACTTACTTTCAAGCAGTCGATAGGACTTGACAACTGGCTGGTACTTCAATTCCCCTGAGTGTTCAAGCAGGATTCGCTTCTTGTCTTCGGCTGAAAGAAGCGATTGCCTGAGAAGAACATAGGCCTGCACCTCCTCAAGCTTTGTCTCACGATTCAACAGCTCTACAAAGCTAGCTTCCATCCTGGACAGGAAAGAATCATGGGACTCATCACTCCTTTGGACTGTTCCGTACAGTGCTTTTTCGAAAAACTCATATCTTTCTTCAAGTTCAGTGGCACCCCATGAACCTCCGATTGCATCAACCAAAAGGGCTATGCCGGACTGGTCATTAACACGAAGCTTTGCTGGGTCCAATCTGGCTACCTTCTTGAACGCTGTGCCCTCCACAAGCAAGGCTGCCCGCGGTGCAAGCTGGCTAAGGTGGTCGGTTGGCCACATTGCAGCAAGAAACTTCAGTTTCTGAGCATATTCCTGGACATTGGTGACCCCTGGCGTGAACTTCGGTATGCTATTCCAGGGGAGCTGCTGGACAACGGGACTTGGTTCGTCCCCAGGCACTGGTGTTTCGATTGCAGTCTGCATGCTACCACTTGTAGGTCCTGGATCTCACTCTTTCAGCAAAACTGTGCTCAAAGGAGCAAAAGGAGCTGGAGCACCGGGCTCCGCTACCAGTGTGATTGGCGAGGAGCCAAGTCACCCTGGTAGCTGGCAATTTCCCAAATTGCAAGGAATCAAATGGATAGATGGTCCAACCTTCTATGTAATATTCAACCAGACAAAGTAGTGGGTCCCTGCCACACTCCAACCGCAGCCGCACCGCAATGTTTCCCCGAAACACTATGGCAAATCCGCACCGCAAGGTGTCCAACACCTAATGCCGCAACCACAACCCTCCACTGGTGCTTGGGCAGTCATGGGACCGGCAAGAAAGGTTTCTCTGCACATGCAAGGCAAGTCACATCAAGGCAGGCATGGATACATGCATGAAAGTTCACAGGCATATATATATATATATACATATGTATATATAAATTACTATATTATAGATCTACATCCCATGGATATTCCATCTTCAGATCTCGTTCAAAACTTCTCCAGGTGAGAGGAGACAACAAGAAGTTTCCCAACTACTGGGGTGACCTGGGAGATTGGCGTCTCGCAGGTTGGCCGCCGAACGGTGGGAGGAGATGAATCCCATCTCCTGATCAATGAAAAACCAGGGTTTCCTCTGGGAATTTGTTACATTTGCTATTGAAAATAGCCATAGAAATCGTGGATGATAGTGGAATTTCCCATGCAACATGGTGGATCTTTCCATAGTTATGTAAACGTTTACCAGAGGGTAGCCTCTAGCAATGAAATGTGGCTGGAATATCCCCGAACTAAACGGAGGTTTAGTTCGCTGGGAATATCATCTATACATTGGAAGATTTTCCATTGCCGCGTTTGACTACGGAAGTTTCCGTGGAGCGCATTGAAGTCAGCTGGACCCAAGTTTTGCTTCCTTAGAAGCGGCTGTTTCGTTGCTTCTTTGTTTCCCAACGTGTGCAACTGACGTACCCTCTGGTAAACTAACGTAACTATTGGAAATCACCATTTTTAATGGGAAAACTCACTATAAATGACCATTTTCAATAGCTATGTAACAAATTACCAGAGGGTATTTTTTGAATGAAATCCCCAAAAGTTTGTCGGTGAACCTCACATTCTTTCGGGTCTTAGATGTTGTGAATCAAACATTTCCCATTTTTTTCACTGGGTTGAGGCAAGAGTTCAGGTTCAGCCTCATTGTTGAATTGTGGGCCAAACCACCATCTCTTGGGTTGAACATGGTTGAACCACCCTGGGTTGCCAGTTTTGTTGGAAAGAACTTGCAGCATTTTTTGCTGCCGGAAGAATCGCAAGAGATTTTTGGGCATCTTTTGGCTGGCTCAAATTCGCCAAGCATAGAACCACCATGAATTTCGATCATTTTCCTCGGGATTCCTCATGGGTTTTCCACATAAAATACATATCTTTCGATATTTTTCTTGGTTTTTCCATAGGTTTACATCACATAAAATTGCACTTTTCCTGCTGGTTATTCATCAAATTCACACACATATAGAATCAGAATCTGCATATGTAGTATATAATCCCATAAAATCCCATAAAATCCCATTAAAGTCCCATTAAAACCATATTAAACCATATTAAAACACGATGAAATCACCATAAATTCCCTTAAACAATCACCATGAATTTCATGATCTGCCCAGGGATGACCACGGGTTTGCCACCCGGACGCTACTGCGACCTGGCCTCCCTGTCCACGCAACGCTGTTGGGATCGCAGGCGACTCATGGGTGATTTCATGGGTTTTTTATTGCTGGGCAACTAAACAACCATTAATAACCACTATTAACCATTAATGGGGTATCATTATTAATGGTTGTTAATAGTTAACCACTATTAACCACTATGTAGTCACAATGATTCTCCAACGTTTTCTCACGTTTTCTCCCCATGTCTGGGCGATTTTGTCAGCTGTTTCCTGTTTAGGCGCTGCCCCAGAGAAGTGCTCATCGGTGAGGATGGCATGGTCGGGGTCCAAGCCTGGGAGCAAAAATCTAGGGATTCACGATGAACATATATGGGATTTTATAGGATTTTTATGGATTTATGGTGATTTTATAGGATTTTTATGGATATATGGTGATTTTATAGGATTTTAATATATTTCTATGGTTTATTTTATACGAAATGATGGGTGATCATAGGATTTGATGGTTATGAATGGATGCGATCTTGAAGCTTAAGACTTGTCTGTTGGTGTTCGATCCCCGGCGCCCACGGACCCGATGTCACCATTGGTTTCCCCATTAAGCATCAATCATTAAGATGATTCTAAGGTAGCCCTGACGAAAACAAGCATATCTCCATCAACATCAAATATGATATGATTAGATATAAGTTCTTTGAAATTGACCATCATTTGTTTGCACATATTCATGGTTCGGAATTAGAGCATAGATGTGTTTTTTGATCTGAATATTTTACATTTATGTATAGTATTTGTGTGTATGCCTTGTATTTTTGCGCATGTTACTTCAGTTGTAAATAAATGAATGATGGATGATATAAAAAAGTATTACAATGTGATATATATATATATATATAGATAGTATCCTGCAGGAAACGAATATAGATATGGACAATTCACTATCTGTATATCGGTTCTAAGGAAAACCCTGGATCCATCCAAGCATCTGCCGTCAGGTAGTGACCGGCGTAGACGCTTGGTGATTGGTTTTTTGGGGAGTTACACTAGCTGGACTAATTTGGGGAGTTACACATTCCCACTATAGGGAGTTACACTATGTACCAGTATAGGGAGTTAGACGACCGCTGGGTTTAAAAAAGTAGGGACATCTATCAACTAATGAGATGATGATTGATGTTAGTCTATCAACTATAACCAACTATTCTGAATGGTTCGATGTTGGTTTTCACGGGACTGGATGGGCATGATGGGCGAGCCATCATTCAGAAATGGTCGAGCAGTGGCTGCGTCTCGCACCCCTGTTGATGATCCACTGGGAATCCCGTCACCGTTGGCAGTTTTTCAACGGACGACAGAACTCGGGTGAGCAGAACACTGCGAATAATCACCAGATTAGATTTCATGAAACGATGGGGTTGAAGAGTTGATAAGAGTTGTGGTTTCTAAGGTTTCTAATACGGATTGTCATCCCCGACACAGACCCTGCTAGTCCTGGGGGGTCAGACTTAGTTCCTCTGATGTGCGATTCTCAGGGTCGTAAGGTTGCTGGATGGTAGTTTTCTTTGGAATTTGGAAATTGAATAGAACCAACAGGTACGACCTGGTTATGATTCTTTGTGAGAGTCGAATCGATTTGATATCAATTATTTTGGATCCTTCGATCTACTCTATTTGAAATCAATAGAGAAACTAACCATTTAAGTTCATTTAAATCCTAGGTTGAATAAGGACCACAGGTGAAGGGTTGAACATCGGGATAAAACAATCTAATTGTTGAAAATTGGGTGTTTCAACTGACAAACTATCTAAGTATGGTCTATGATTGACTGCATAATTTGAGATTGGTGGTTTTCTTGGGGTTCAAAACACAACCTAAATGATGTTTACAACAAGCATAAATTTGGTGGTAAAATCCGTTGAACTTCACATTCTCGGCTGGCCAGCTGGCTAGACTCTCATGTTCCTTTTTTCCCCCGGACACTGTCATATTTAGGGGCCCATGTCGCGTACAAAACACGCGACACCACTCCAAGCCTGGCATAGGCAAACCGCACCAGCAAGGTGTCATTCCATGGAACAATTTGGATTTCCAATTGCGTTTGATTGCCAGTGGTCGAACGGTGGTTGAAGGCACCAAAGGATCTCTTTCATCCTGAAAATTAGTTGCGCCATTTTCCATCCTTATCATTGCCTTTTCTTATCTGCTATACTTCTTACATCTTCTTAGATATTTGATAGATTATGTTTAAAGTTTATACTTATACATTGTTTTTTTCATCGTAAGAACTTCATATTCACCTGTGTAACTATCCTCCTCGACGCTCTCATGCCATCCGTCGTCTAGTCTTGCAGCTCGAAATCCGACAGGAATTCCATCATCAGTTGGTGAATTGTGGGTTTTCACTCACTTTTAAGCATAAACATCTTTAAACATCCGTGAAATCCCATTCAAATCGATTAGCCGACTAGCCCCCCCTGTTTTTCCATGTTGAATCCCAGTAAATCACCATCAAACCCATGATCTTTTCGGTGAACAAATCCTGCTAAGGTGCCCCAGGGCGACCTCTTAGCCATCCACACCGGAGCTCGTGTCTGGGCAAAATGGGGCAAAACAGCAGGAAAAACCAAGTGGATTTCACCGGGAAACCTGTGACCTGTGAAAAAAACCCCTTGGATTTCATTGAACTGGGGATTTCAGCATCGAAACATGGAATTTTGACAGGCAAACATAGGGATTTAGATGGATTTAGCATGATTAAACCATCAAAATATGAGATTCAATGGGGACACATGGGGGTTTCAATGAACTGGGAAAAATGGGGGCCTCTTGCATGTGGACATTTCCCGAAAATGGTGGATTTAACCCCTCAGTTGTGGCAATTCTTCAAGGGAAATTGATGAAATCAACCGTTGGATAGCAGAATCGCACAGCGAAAATGGAAGAACTTGAGGAATCACGCCTCCATTCTCAAAACCGCTGCAAGTAAGCCAGCAAGAGTGGGTACCCTCTGGTAATTTGTTACATAGCTATTGAAAATTGCCATTTGTAGATATTTGTAGTTGATTTACCCAGCTATAACATGGTGGATCTTTCCAGTTCGCTATGTAACAAATTACCAGAGGGTACCACTTTTTAAAATAGAATAGATGGCCCAGAGAAATAGATGATTTTCCCAGCTAGAAACCTCCATTTATGGTTGGGATTTTCCATAGCTTTTTGTAACAAATTACCAGAGGGTATGTCGACTTTGAATTGGGATAAAATTGGGTAATTCTACCTGACCTCACCATGTGAATTTGTGGCTCGACCTGTGAATCATCCCCAGATGACCAATTCAGGTGGAATGATCCCCATTGGAAATTTTCGGGTTTCGGGTTTCGGGTTTTCAGTTTATTAAAAATCATAGTTTGAACCCCACGAACTGAACTTATAAAAACAAGCTATATTCTCACTTTTATGATATAATCACTGCACAGTTCGTTTTCCCTTTTATAGTTACCCCACTATCGACCCAGAGAATCTCAGAACATGAATTCAATGAATGGTAGGCAGTAGGCATAAAAATTCTTGCACCAAAGATCCTCCAATTTTTAATGGAACCTTTACCCATCATTACCCATCGACCGAAGCTAACGCTGTTTCACCGAGGCCTGTCGGATAGCATCGATCCCTTCGTGTGCAACGAGGATATTGTCCAGGAGATGTCGTCTGGGACCCGAGGATCTCGCTGATTCGTCCGTGTTGTGGTCGTTGGATGTGGGTCCCATCGAAGCCCAGTTAGAAGCCTCGAAGTGACCAAGACCATCAACCGACTTCAAAAAAAAACACCATAATTAGAGCAAATTATCAAGACTATCACTGCCCAAAATGGATGGCAATCTATATAAAATATACTTTTGGATACCCCCAACCGAAACCCTTAGGCCCTTGCTTAGTATTGGATCTACCTTGATCTATTTGGGGCCCAGATTCAGGGTGAGTTCGCCATGTGGGTTTGGTACCTGAAAAAAATCCGGGAAACCACAGAAAAACCATCCAGTGGTTTACCATTGTGCTACTGGAATAAAACACTTGGGGCCTAATCCTGGTTCTCAGACCTATAAATATCATTTGTGGTAAACCCAAGGCCATCAACCATGCTATTCACCAACCATGACGTAGTAGTAGTAGTAGTAGTAGTAGTAGTAGTAGTGGTGTTGGTGTTGGTGTTAGCGTGCACTTTTTCAACATCTCAATTTCCAAAAGTGGTCAAAGACCGTCAGTGTTAGCACTTTTCACTTGGAAATGTGCTTCGCGCCACAATGGCATGCGTTTTTTTCGACCTCTCAACTTCCAAAAGTGGTCCGGGACCGTCAGTGTTTAGCACTTTCATTTGGACATATGCTTCGTGCCACAGTGGCGTACACTTTTTTCAACATCTCACCTTCCAAAAGTGCTCCTACACTGAAGCGTTTTGCGCCTCTTGACTTCGAAAGGTGCTTCGCCCCACGGCGTGTACTTTTTCAAGATCTCAACTTCCAAAAGTGCTCCAAACCCGCTGTGTTTTGTACATTTTGACTTGCAACTGCCTGCGTTTTTTCTACATCTCAACTGCCAAAAGTGCTCCAGAGGTCAGATGTTTTTAGTCTTTTGAGTTATAAATTTGCTTCGCGCCAGAACGGCGCTTCCCACCTCTGCTTTGCCCGTATTGGGTGAATCATGCCAAACCGAGCAAACTTTTTAAATTTGGTGAAGTATTACCCAGATCATAGCAAGAACTCTTTGGCAAACTCTTTGGTTCACAGTTCATGCATTTTTTTCGTCTGTGTGTGTGAGGTCCTTAATAATCAGTTCTTAATATTTATTTTTGCCTTTGCATGGTTTCTCCCAGAGCTTAAAGATTAGACTCAAGAATGCGAGAGCTCTTCATCTTGTCAAATACGTGTTTTGAATGATTAACACATTTCCCATCAAAAGTGTCTCCCTGCATCCGCATAGCGGTAGCCCAACTAATTTGAGGTCAGCGTGGGCTCAGTAGCCACACTTAAATGGGGTTATTTCATGATATTCCATGTGTATTCCATGTACTGACTGAACTCCTCTTCTTCTTGCCCACTTGAGTGGATTACACATGCAAAAATTGAGGTTTTGAAACATATTTGTTCCCTGTGCCGAAGGCCAATTCGGAGGTATGTACCCTTTGGGCCCATTTTGAGGAAACATCCGTGACCAGTGGCACAACAAACCCTGCGTGTTTGACTTCTGAGGCAGTCCCAGAGCTGTTGCTTGCACGTGGTGCTCCTGATCATTGCCAGCCTGTGGAGCATAAAGTAGGTCAAACTTAGGACCGCTGCGGATTTGTCCCCCAGGAACTTGTGAAGAATGGGAAAAAAACCTCCATTTCTGCTGGGAAATCCATAGGGCTAACAATGGACATGTAAGTCAATGGGAGAATAATCGAACAAAACATTTTTTTTTTGGGTGACATCTGATTTTTGTTGGTTATTCTTTTCCAGGGCCTGGAAGAATGCTCAATTGTGGGTTTTTGCCACCTGGGGGCCTTCTCCCGCTACATCCCCTCGTTGCCACCTGTGCAACGACGAGGACCAGTTTTTTTTAAACGACAGCAACACAAAGTTGTCGTGCCTAGAATTTGGCTGACAGGCGAGGTTTTTGCCAATCCATGCAGGGGTCCCTACAAGGTGGAGTTGGTTTACAACCCCCATTAACTAGTTGGATATATGTTGGATATATGATGATAACATATGTCATTAGTTGGACATATGGTATATGATGATATATGTATCATAAACCCGTGTGGAGGACCATTGGAGTCAAAAATGCACCAACTGAGCGAACTAACGGTCACTGACCATGGTCATGGTCATCCTCTTAGAGGGGTTACCACTAAAAAATCACCACTTTTATAACCACCCACTGGAAAGTAACCACTTACATAATTACTATCACCACCTTTGTACCCACTCATTAAGGATTCATAAACTCATAAAAACAGGCTAGGGACCCTAAGTGGCAACCTCCTTGCTTCAGCAAAAGCCAACCCAGATGTGGGGGACTCACCATCTGGCACCCCGCCGCCAAGTCTCTTTCACGATCCACTTCTGGGTCTATGTTTTTTTTGCTAAAGGATTTGGTAGCAATATATGGAATGGATTCCAAGGCTTTCGCAACTTCACCAGCCATCGGTAGGTGATGAATTTTGACGGCATTGATGCGAACAGCATTTGAGCAATGTTCAATTCACCCCTGTTGATGATTACAGCGAAATTTCATGGAGATCTGCTCATGAACCATATATATATATATATAATTAATATACATATATATATACATATATATATACATATATATATATAGGGTTTTAACCATCAGAAATAGAGGACTAGAACTAACAAAATAATGGTTGGTTGATGATTATATGGACTTATACTGAGTATTACTGAGTTATACTATCCAATATATTGGTGATGTCCATGAGCTGGGATATTCTATGAACCAGCGCTCAATTGGTCGAAGTCTCCACTTTTTTGGGTCCATTGAGATGAGCAAACTGAGTGACCAGCATTTTGGCCAGCAATTTTTGGCCAGACATGAGCTGTTACCCTCTGGTAAACTAACATAGCTATTGAAAATCACAATTTTTAATGGGAAAATCCACTATTTCAATGGTCATTTTCAATAGCTACGTTAAATTACCAGAGGGTATTTCCTGATTTTTATTCCTGACTCTTTCCCATTTTGGGAATATTTTGGGAATATCCAAGTGCCTAAAGTGCCATTCGGGTTTTTTTCACGGTGAAATGTGGGGCGCGAAGGCGCTTTGGCGGCAGTTTTTCGTCTTAAATGGCGCCCCAGTTGAGCCATGTTGAGCCGAACGAACATGGGGATGTGAACCAAGCTGAGGGGATTCACATGTACCGTAAATCTTATAGTTTCAACATGTTTCAACCAGAGAAGTCTAAGCCAGCAAAAGCACGTACTATGTCATTGGACATATGGGTATGGATCAATACCTATTAATACCACTTTTAGTGGGATGAACATCCATTTACCAGCTATTTTGATGTTCACCAGGGGTACAAGGTTTTGACACACTGCAGACCTTGGCCCGAGCCCTGCCAGCTGGTTGGTCTGCCCTAGCTGATACTCGGGGGGATCGCATCCATGGAGAAGTCCAAATTGGGTTTGGAGCCAGACTGGAAACACGTTCAGTCTGGTGACAAAATTGATGTCTTTGGGTATTTGGAGGTTTACGATCCTGATGGATTGCGACACTTGTTCAGATCAAACCTTTATGGGAGGTTCTTCACAGTGCAGGGCTGTTTGACCAACTTCCATTCCTATTCCTTTCTGCAATGTGGTGTCGATGTCAAGGATGGTAAAGTTCATCTATATGCCTCTTCAGGGTTTGCACTTGGCCATCGAATTCCTGATACTGCCATGTATGGAAGTGCCATTGAAGTTTGCGCAGGCATCTCAATGATGTCCCAAGGAATCCAGTCTTGCGGGGTACGAGTCCTTGCCACCAATGACCTGCAGGAGACCAATTGCAGCTTCCAGCGAAAACATGGGGCATGTAATGTAATTCAAGGAGATATATGTGATGCACATGTCATGGCACAGTTGCATGCTGCTCACCCGAGCCCATGTTTAGTTGCTGGGGGATTCAGTTGCTAACCCTGGTCAGCCTTGGGAGACAAAAAAGGGATGAACGACCAAAGAGCAGGATCTCTGATTGGCACGTTGCGCACAGGGTATTTCCTGCGTGCCCATTCGATTGAGCTTGAGTGTGTAGTTGATGCAAGCCGAGACCCCCAAGTCAAGGCAGTGATCCATGAGTTCTGTCACTTGACAAAGTTTCGGCAGTCAGAGGTCGAACTTGCATTGGACTCACTGATGCCCACTTACCGCAAGAGGTGGTGGTGCCTTTTGACCAATGCCACATTGCCGAGCCTTTCCTTGAAGCCATTGCCCCGTTTGCCACGACAGGTTGTGTTTGGTGATGTTATCCCTGTATGTCCGAATTGGCCTCATGAACACCTGAAACAACTTGCATTGGATCAATACGAATCAGGGAAATTCCAGGCATGTGGAGGCCTTGAACAAAACATGGTCAAACATGATGGTGTTTTGAAAACTGCACTACATGGGTGGGCTAATCAACTTAGTGGGTGCCCATGCAAATGCCGTAGATACCCACTGTCAGAGGAGCGCCTCCAGTCCAAAGGTATGTTTGGAGCACTCATCCGAATTGAAGGAGTTTTCAAAACATCACAGGGAGATTTACCATGCACACGGCACATGCACCCTTGGGAAATGTGTGTGGTACATGGAGGCATCCCATGTCATGATTGGGAGCCACTCCGTTTTTCCATTGCTGCATTAGGTCAGATGGCGTCACCAGTCCAATCATGCTGGATCACGGGGCAGTTGATGTCCTCTTTTGACCAGGCACGAGACATCCAACCGACATGCCCGGAAGTGCATTTGTGGAACCATTTCACCCAGGTTTTTCAGGCAGTAGCGCGGGATCAGCCATCAGTGTACAGTGCCCCGGCATTTCAGAGGTACATAGACGGCATCCGATCTACTTTGCAAGGCCAGGCCATGATTTCTTGGGGCCCTTCATACGTTTCACCCCCTGACAGAACAAGCAGAGATGAAGAAAACAGCCAGCGGTCGGGACGCAAAGACCCGCAAACTTTGGTTCCTTTGATGCCGTTGCTTCAATGTTTGGGAGGAAACAAACAGCCAGCGGTGGAGACGCAAGCACTCCCCCCTCCCATGACTGTTCAGGCCATGCCAATGAGTGCCCTTGTCACTGTTGGCCCCTCCCCACATTCCCCAATGATGAAAGCACCCACTGATGTTGAAGGAGGCCGACCAGAGGCCATGGAAACACATGAAACCAACCAAGGGGTAGCTGACCTGAATGCTGACTCCTTGCGAGACCATGCAACACTCAAACGTCCAGTTGAAAGGGATGACTTTTCCGAGGCGCCCCCCAAAAAATGGAAAGATGCAGATGGATCGCCGAATACTAGCATTGGCCGAGGAGATGCTGGGACCTTACCGACACGAGCAGAAGCCACTTGCCTTGCCTCAGCCAAGCCTCACCATGCCATGCCTGTGACAGCCACTGACAATGGGGAATTCCCACTTAAGGGCAACTTGCCAGGTAAGCAGTGTGTGCACCATGCATTCGCCTCTTTGCCAGAGCCAGCTCCAGTGTCGCATCCCAAAGCATCCGAGAGTCATTCACATGCCAGCCTTGCTGGCCTTGCACCCCAAAATGAAAGCAGAGATGAAGAAAACAGCCAGCGTTCGGGACGCAAGAACCCGCAAATTGGGGTACCCACCAATTTTTTGGGGAAAGAGAGTCAAATCGACAAACAGCCAGCGGTGGAGACGCCAGAACTCCCCCTGCCCATGTCTTTTCAGGCCATGCCACGTGATGCTTTTGTCACTCGTGGCCCCTCCCCCCATGGTCCCATGTGTGAGAGTTCAGACCTGGTCAAAATGTCGAAGCCATGTCATGCAGAAGAGACATCCAGTAACCCAGCATCAGGTATGCCGAACACACTAGATCAGCATCAATTTGCAGATACCAACCCGAAACCACACGAGGAATCTACAGGTGGACTCGTGGCATTTGCGTCAGGGTCCAACCCATCTAAATCCGAAACACACAGTCCGATCATTGCAGCCGAGGCCAGGGAGGCTACCAAAGTTGTAGCTCACCAGACCGCATCCGATGAAAAGCATGCCAGTGATCCTGCCGAGGCCAATGACGAAGGAGACTCCTTGACCCAGGGAATGTTGCAGGTAGCTCAAGAGATCGCCAGCTCCGAAATCTTGAAGCGCAAGCACATTGAAAGCCACACCATTCAGGTCATCAGGCAAGATGACAACCAGCCATCATTCATCAAGATCGACAAGCAGGCTACGGTAGGCTCGGTCACAGTTGTTGAGGCAGACATTGGTAGCCTTGTCCAGCCAATCTGTGTCAATACTTGCGTTGGTACAAGATATCCGACTGCAGCCATCACCAAGCCATTTGACCAGATCTTCCTAAAAGAAATGGCACAATATGGAAGTGGTACTTCGGATGAAGCGATTAACATGCCACCTGAGCTGCTTGCAAATGCCTCCACCACCAGGATTGCTTTGTTGTACCGACAAGAAGCATTTGTAGCTCAGGATGAGATGGAGTTTTACCTCAACATGATCACTGCCACAGGTCAAGCTAGTGTAGCTCCGGCCGCAATCATCCCTCATGAGTGCGATGATGAGGAACTCATACAGACACTCCAAAACTGGTATGCACAGGCTCTGCTTGTTCACGATGCCCCAAGTGTCATTGTCACGGCAATTTTTGCCCATCACCACTGGTTTCCTGTAGGAATACGTTTTGCACATGGCAAGGTAGATATGTTCACCACCCCTGGAGGACATGACTGGCTCAAAGTCATCACCCAAGACATGCCCAACACATGCAACATCATCACAGTCGAGTCTGCCAGCAAGTTCAACAATGACTGTGGATTTCAGTGCGTTGGATGGATTATGAGTTTTGTCTTTGATGCCACCCACACCCATGATCGTGCAAAGCCAGTCACTCCCGAAACTGCGGCAGCATGGAGAGGGTTGTTTGAACACCACTTACATGTCACAGGCAAGGCCAAAGCAGTCTCAATCCCGTCCCAAATTGCATTTGGAGGGGTAACAGGTGGAGATGTCACCCAAGGCCTTTGCCAGCTCCTGCATGAACATGGGGTTGCGCATGATGTAGTCCAGGAAAGAGCCCAGACAGTCCTCGACAAACTGGGTCGTTCCGCTGTCATGAGAGCCCTCCGAGGCACGCAGCCGTGGAAAGAGATCAAACAGCTTTCCAACCAATGTAGCCCGAAGTTACAACTTGTCTTGCCAAGTGAACTGCAGGAAGTCATTCGAAACCGGACCAACTCCCAGCAGAAGTTTGGATCCAAGAAAGACAAGAAAAAGCATGCCCCGCAGGCACAGAAACCAATTCACATCGACGCTGAGGACATAAGCATTCCTGACGGAATTTTCCAAGATGCTGATGGTAAGACCATCCAACAGCGGCCAATCAATAGCATAGGTCCAGAAGCACGAGGCATCGTTGTCGTCAAAGCCATGCAAGCAGTGCCATATCTAAGGTTTCAAAAACCGGTGTCCCAGAATGGCCTTGCCTTATTGGTGATTGACCACCAGGACCCATTGCTCCACGGGGTTGGGGAAGAAGTCCGTTTTCCTGCCAGGTACGAAAAGACAAGTGAGCCCATTTTGATGTCAGCCAAACTTGTACAGATTGGAGCCAGCATCGTCAGTCGTACAGTCCCAGCCCATGCAACTAAGGTGGACGAGGTCATGACAGCAGTCGTAAGAGTTGCAGTGTATAGGGATGAGTGTGATGTCAAATGGGAAAGCATCGTTGCAAGGCCTGTGAAGCACCTAATTTCCAGTGTCCAGCTTTTGCAACCAAATGGGGACATGTCACCGATCATGGATGTTTGGGATAGGCAATTCCTGAATGAAAAGCTGGAACGCACAAAACCGAGTGACGCCACCATTTTCATGGCTTGTTTCAGATTGGAGGCATCCGATATCACCGAAGCACTCAAAACCTCAGGAGATTCGGGGTGCTACCTGGAGCCGAGAAGCCACGATGGAAGATCTCCCTCCACTGACTATCGAGTCATTTGGATCAACAAGCAAGACAAGCAGAATGTCATGATTGCATCCCAGGCTACTAAGCAGTGGACATGCATTGTTAGATCTGGCAACCGATTTGGACTCCGAACTCGAGTCCAAGATGCGCAGGCAGTCCATGAGACCCATAAGCCTCAGGTACCATTCCTCACATCCGACCAAGTCATGACGTTCCATGTAGGCCCCATGCCACACGGATCCAACCGCACGGCACTCACCAAACTGTTCCAATCGTGGTCATGGCAGGCAAGGCCATGCCAGCCGCGTAACAGGACACCTGATGGTAAGGGCGTTGTGTGGGAATGCCAAGCAATCTGCAAACCACCCTATGAGGTATACCAGTTGGATCATGCAGATGTCCTCATCACAGAAGTGCCCAAGAAAGCAGCCAGAAATGCATTGCCACAAGGAAGCATCCAAGCTTCGGCCAAAACAATGGCAGCACTGAAAGCTGCAGACAGCCAAAGCCAGGAGAATGCTGACCCATGGGAAGCCAATGATCCATGGGGAAACTATACCACCCCTACCAAGGGACCCAGACCCAGCACTCAGCAAACCGTGGTCAAACGAAATGATGACATTGAAGCCATTGCAGCCAAGGTCCAGCAGAAGCTTCAGCCAGCCTGGTCTAAGCACATCAACTACCCCAAAAACGATACAGATCAAGACATGAATGGAGATGAGACTCGAATCCAGGTAGTTGAGGACCGCCTTGCCAAGCTGGAACAAACAGTGCAGGCAAATCAATTGCAGCAGGGAAAGCATGTCCAGGAACTTGCCTCCCAGATTGCCCAGGTTCAAAAGAACGTTGATCAACAAGGAAGAGCTTTCCATGCCCACCTTGATGAGAAGCTCGACAATCAGCTGCACCAGATCGAGCAGTTGCTCGCCAAGCGCAGCCGCACTGAGTGACAAATAAGGCTGGTTCCTTGGGGAAAGGAGCCAAAGCCTCACAGTTGTTTGCCAGTCATCCGACCAAAAGCCGATGATGTACAGCCCAAACCAGTCGCTAAGCCATGCACCAATCCGAGGCGAAGCCCCCTGAAACAGTGTAGAGGCAGCAGGTTTTTTTACCATGTCGGCACTTTTGTTTAGATTCATCTTTTTGATGGTTGCACGCATTGGAGAAGCCACACATCCAGGTCCAAATCCGAAGATAGGCGTTGCAAACCCATGTGGTGCCTTGCACAAAGCACATCTGTTCCAGGATGTGTCCGATGAAACAGTCCCCACAGTTTGGGGTATCAGTGAAAGCCACCTCACCTCCGAAGGTGTCCAAAGATTCCGTCAAGAGCTCAAGTTCCAGTCCCAGCAATGGAAGTACCTGCCTGGTGCACCGGCGCCACCTTTGACATCAGCACCAGGTTGCATAGGAGGTAAGGCATCAGGTGTAGGGTTTTTAACCAACTGCCCGACACGAGCGCTCCCGAATGACTGGAGTACTGAGACTTGGGAGTCAGCCAGACTTCAAGCTTGCGCTGTCCGAATACAACAGCAGTGGATAAAAATTGGGGTTGCCTATGGGTTCGCCAAGCAATACCACACCAGAGCAACCAGAGAAGCCACTGATCAAATCCTTGAAAATCTCACAGAAAAGATCGTTTTCCAAAGCAAAGGGTTTCGAATAATTTGTGGGGATTTCAACCAGGATGACCAAGATGCGTTGGAGCAATTTACCATATGGAGAAACCATGGTTTCGTGGAGATTCAAGACATTGCTGCTCAACAATGGGGATACCAGGTTAAACCCACTTGTCACCAGAAAACCCGAAAAGACCACATGTGGTTATCACCCGAGCTTATCCCTAGGCTGGTAGATGTCACTGTGGACTCTACTGTTTTTCCTGACCATGCCACAGTCGTTGGTGAATTCCTTGCGTTTGGAGCTGCGACACCTATCCCCATGTGGCGAAAACCCATGCCAATCCCTTGGGAGGAAGTCGCATTAGATCACCTTGATGAGGATGAACTATTCCATGAGGGAACCCAAGCGCAGATCACATGCATTTTCAAAGCCCTTGAAGACACTGTTGATACCAACCTGCGCCACCAAGGAAAACCTGGACTGCTTGCCCAACAGCGGGGGAGATGCCAGACCACTGAAGCGACCACTTGTAAACAAGCGGTGACCCCATGCAAGCGCTCCCGCAAAGGAGAAGTTCAGATCACATACATGGGCGAACACTTCACCCATACCAAGTGGGTTAGACAACTCCGTAGACTCCAAAGCCTGGCTGCCTTAATGCATTCTAGGTCTGAAGAGCCACACATCTCCAAAGACCGCACAGATTTGTGGAATGCAATCAAAAATGCATCAGGGTTCCCAGGTGGTTTTGCCCAAGTTTGGAAAAATCGAGTCAACATCAGCCATAAAGCACCCTTGCACTTGCCGCGCCGACTCCCAGAAGTTGACATTGTTGACGCCATTTTTCATGACTTCCGCCAGGAGTTTCAACAACTTGAGAAAGCACTCATCCACGCAAGATGCCAAAAAGCCAAGGAAAACAGGAACAATGACTTGAATGCCATCTACCGAGATGTTGCCAAACCAAGGTCTTTGCCAGTGAGCACAGTAGTCATTAACACCAATGCTATTGTGAGTGACGTAAGTGCAGATGGTCTTATCGTACAATATCAGCCCCCAGAGCTGGATCCCCACCAACCTGTCACTTCTGACAGGGGGCCACTTGCCATTGCACACCACGAAAAAGGCCAGATCACACTCGAGGCACCACAGAACATTGAACCTGGCGACCATCTTCGACAACCCAAGTTGTTAGGAGACCTTCCTGATGTTTTCAAGGCATTCCAAGACCTGTGGGAGCCCATGTGGAACAAACATGAAAACACACCAATTGAGCAGTGGTACCCGATCCTCCAACAAATCCAAAATGAGGTACCCACACCCTCAGAGCCATTTGACATGCAGCCGATCACAATGGACCAGTGGAGACATGCCATCAAATCCAAGCCGGATCGAAGTGCAGTTGGACCAGATGGAATCCATAAGAAAGATTTGCTGCACATGCCAAAGGCACTCACCCAGAAACTTGTCGATTGCATCAACCACCTTGAGCAGACCAGTACGCCATGGCCCCGCTCCACCATGGTGGGATTGATAGCCGCAATCGAAAAACATAGTGCTGCCAAATCACCATCCGAATACCGACCAATTACAGTTCTCAGTATGATCTACCGTACCTACAGTAGCATACGAACTAAACAGATACTCAGATGGATCAAGCAATATGCACCAGAAGGACTAATGGGAAACATGCCCAACATGTCCACAACACAAGTGTGGCGAAGTTTGGCTGAACAGATCGGGCATGCTCACTACTTCGAATATGAATGGTCAGGCACAGTCACTGATGTGTGCAAATGTTTCAACACATTGCCCCGCCATGTGGTCTACTACTGTGCCAGGCACCTTGGCCTCCCTGAGTTCTTCACTAAATCATGGATGAGGAACGTTTCGCAAATCCAACGAAGATTTGTAGTCCAAGGCAGCTGCTCACCAGCCACTTGGAGTACCACAGGATTCCCCGAGGGGGACCCGCTTAGCGTCCTTTCAATGGTCCTTGTTAACTTTGCCATGCATGCAATAGTCACAAGTAAGGTGAGTCCCATTGCAGTGGTCAGCTATGTTGACAATTGGGAAGCTCAGTCATCAAGTGCCCAAGCGACCTGTGAAGCGTTTCAAGCGATGGACTCTTTTGCCAGTGCCTTGGACATACGCCTGGACAAACCAAAGACACACTGTTGGGCCACCACCACCCAAAGTAGGAAACACCTCAAGGCCGATGGCCATACTGTGTTACTGCAAGCCAAAGACTTGGGAGGACACCTTAATTACAGCAAACGAAGGTCGAACTACTCCCTGAGAGCCAGAATCACAAACACCAAGCCTTTGTGGGGATGGATCAGCCGAAGCAAAGCCCCTACATACCAAAAGCTCCGCATCTTGTACACAGTAGCATGGCCACGATGTCTACATGGAATTGCTGCAGTGGACGTGGGGATTGATCACTTCACCACAATGAGGGCCGCAGCCATGAATGCATTGCGATGGGAAAAACATGGCTCTTCCTCAATCATCCAGTTTGGATTATTCAATGAGCCCAGACATGACCCATGGTACTATGCCATCCATACCACAGTCATGCAGTTTCGACAGTACTGCCGTGTGGAAGTTGCTTTTGCAGTCCTGGACCACTTGAGCAATGATCCCCCAGTTAGACATGCCCCTGGACCTTCTGGAGTCCTCCTAGCCCGATTGCATGCCATCCACTGGCGATGGGAACAGGATGGATTCATCCAAGACCATCAAGGGTTCAAGTTTAGCCTGATGGATTGCCCGATCCAACTTTTGCAGCTGAGACTTGATCATGCGTGGGGAGCCATGGTAGGACATTCAATGTCTTCCAGGGCTGAGTTTGGTGGACTAGGAGACATTGATGTTGCCTGCAGCACACACACGTTCCATACCTTTTCCATCACCGAAATTGCCCTGTTGAGAGTAGCGATGAACGGCTCCTTTTACACCAGAGATAAACAATTTTCCAGTGGCAAATTTGTTTCCAAGCAATGTCCATGGTGTAATGAGCAAGACAGTGTTTTCCACCGTACATGGGAATGTCCTCACTTTGCACATGAGAGGAGCTTGATGCCACCTTGCCACAGGGAGTACATCATGCAACAGCCGCAATGCACATACCTTCATGGATGGTTTGTTGAATCAGCAGAGGACAAACACTACAGAGCCATGTTGCAGACGATACCTGACACAACAAGGGAGTTTGAACAACCTTCGTATTTGCCAGAAGTGATGCACATGTTCACAGATGGAAGTGGAATTTTTCCTCAACATAAAAGCCTGCGTTTGGTTTCATGGTCAGTCTGTTTGGCTACTTTCCAAGATGTAGAGTTTACCCCCCTAGCAGCAGGAGGGGTGCCTGGAATGTTACAGACGGTTTTGCGTGCAGAACTCACAGCTGCAATCGCAGCATGCCGTGCAGCCATCAAATTCCAAAGACCTTTCTATATCTGGACTGATTGCCAATTGGTTTTTGACCGAATCAACCAGTATGCAAGCATGAAAAGGGATGCACCAACATCAAAGCAGAAAGACCATGACCTGTGGGGACAACTCCAAGCAGCTCTACATGTTTGTTGCAAGACTAACCTTTTCCAAAAAGTTCTCAAAATCACATCACATGTTGGCGACACGCAGTTTTCTCACCTAGTGGATTCATGGGCTGCCAGAGGAAATACAGCCGCGGACACCATGGCGTCCAAAGCCATTGCCTTACTGCCAGCCAGAGTTCGCCAGGCCCACAGAAGGCTTGCAAACCTTCTGGAAAGCCGCTATGCAGCATGCCAAGCGATGCATAAGTTGTTTGTTGCAATCGGAAAAAAGGTTGTAAAGGAAAAAGAAGAGATGAAAGCACGTGAGACAGAAGCTTGGGAAAACGTTGGACCGTCAGCTCCAACCATCTCAGATGTGATCAGTTTTCTTCCTCTGCCATCGACAGTTGTGGAGCCTGAGGACCACCAACTTGGAGAGGGTTTTCCACTGATTCATCAGTGGCTTTTGGAGTTTACAGGAGACGAACAATCCATTCCGATGTGGCTGTCCAGTTACCAGCTGTACGCCCACTTCCAATGGAGCACTGGACACTTGGGATTTCATTATAACCGCAAAACCAAAAAGTTCGAGACGCTTACATCACTTGGTACTGCGAAGGAATACAACTTCATTCGTGCAGCTGGATGGTTTAACGCGATGCTGAAGAGTTTTGCGAAAGCGATGAAACTCCCTTGCAACATACAATCTCGTTTGCCTTGGGGGCCAGTCTTCAAGTGCTGGCAGAGATGTCTGTTGGTAAAAGCTTCTCCCAATACAATGGACCGGGTGCACTCCCTCTTTCTGCTGAGAGGCACGAGGGCAGTGCAAAAAGTGCATACTGCATTGGTGCAGTATGAACCGTTTCGACCAGGGGCTTCCTGATCCTCTCGCTGCCGTCGAACTTTGTCTCACCAGAGCTCGAATTCTCGGCGGGAGGGAAAAGGAAAAGGTTTTGACACACTGCCATATCAATTCCCAGAATTCATCCAAGGGAACATATTTTGAGGAATCCCCCCATTTTTGAGGGCAACAATCCGATGATCTGTTGTAATCCCGCAACCCCCTATCAATACACATAAGTCCCAAAACCATGGGCTTTAGCCGTGGATCTATTCAATCTATTCAATCTCTTCGTTTTGGACTCAAATTTAGGTGGATTGGGATTGATGATGAATGGGAATGAGATTGTCATCAACCCCTACTCGGTCTCAGTAATCCCAATGCCCAAATCAACCTATGTCAACAAGCATTTTCCGTGCAATCAACTGAGTTAATCAGTCTCAACTGGTGGCCCATTTTGAACGTCCCGTTCTCCCATGCTGCAAACCCTCAAGGGGCCGAGCGCAACCGTTGCTACAGAGTCTCAACGGCGGGAGTGCGAAGAAAAGCCCAGGGCGGATGGGTGTGACCTGTGGGTCAAGTCACTGGGGGATGGAAATTATGCAGAAATGGAAGTTGCAACCAATGAAGATGTGGTGAATTTCACCCAAAATTGTGATGTAACTTGACGTAACACATCAAAATTTGGCACTTCATCATGGTTGATGCTTACCACCAAAAATGCTCGAGGGTTTTCATCTTTTCAGCCATATCTACCTGAGTTAAGTTGCAAAGTTGCGAGGAACTGTGTTCGGTTGAAACCAATCGTGGCAACGGAAAATTCCCCATTTAGTTCAATGCTTTCCCCATGAAAATGCCGACGATTTTTCTAAGTCATAGCAGCCCCCAGAATCAGCATTTAAAAATGGCGATTTAAGACGGAGCTCGCCGAGCTCATGTTTTTGAAACCAACTTGCCTTCCTATACAATTGTTACTCTATATTAGTGGGTATATACATACATACATACATACATACATACATACATACATACATACATACATACATACATACATACATATATATATATATACGAACTTTGTTAGTTGGTTCATGGGGTGAAACTAAACCAAAAAACTTAATGAACTCTCAATGTTTAACGAGGAAAACCGCCTGCAACTGCGGGAATTTCCTGTATACCAGATTAGACTCCCAGAATGTAGAGAAAAAAATCTTACGCAAATGAGAAATGTCGGGCAGGTATCGGAAACTTCTGGATGACCTATTCGAAGTTGGGCCAATGTTGAAATTTGATGAGTGTGGCCCGTCTCGTCAGGCCAATTTATGGGAACTTCATCACGTCCTTTGAAGTTCGTTGAAAATTTCAACTGGGTCAACTGGTTGTTGGCCACATCAAAGATTCGTTCAAAAAACCCACTGTTTGGTTGATTTTTTTTGAGGGTTCCCCCCGATTCAACAACCAATAGGTAGATTGATAAGGAATAGTATACCAAATCGGCCCTTCTGTTGTTCCTGAAAGGAACATATTGTTCATACATCTAAAGTCCATGGCACATTGATTGTCTACCAAAAGAGGTCATTTTTTGGTTCAAAAAAATTGGTCCCCCACATCTGGTCCCCTCTAAAGTTGCGACGAAAATCTGCGATTTGGGTCGAAGCTGGGAAAAGTTGTTTCGAAGCAGAAACATCCACAAAGGGGGTATCCTGTTCCTTGGACAAAATCGGATGTGGGAGCTAAGAGGTGACGATTTGTTATGGGGGGTGTAAAAAAAATCTGCAAAGGCCAACAAGGATTGATTTAACATGATTCAAATATGATTTAAGCGTCCAACATGGGGATCTTTGATGGAACCACGATCAAGAAACCAACCCATTTTTTCTGGATATCTTTCTATTGCCAAGCTTGCTGGAGAAGTCACTGGAATGATGGGAATTATGGTGATTTATTATAACTTCTCAAGATATTTATAGGGAATATGTTGCGTAATATGTTTTTAGGGAATGCGGATATAAATGGATATAATGGTATGTAGTAGAACCAAGAATGTTATTTGGATTTGTCAAAAAATTGGGTTGCAGGACACCCTATTTTATGGCAATTCAAACATCGGGGCATGATGATTTAAACTCGGATTTTGGCGTACCCTATTTTCCAAGAAGCACATTGGATGAATATTGGATGAATATTTGAACACCATGAATTCTTGGAATCCACCAGAACCTGAAGGATGAAAAACAATCAGTTCAATCATCACACATATCAGCTTCTAAGATGTTTTAAGCAGAAGACTGATGGTTTTTTTCGGATCTTTTTTAAGACTTCGATGCCCAACATGGGATTTTTGTTGCCCGTTGCAACGTTGGAGTTTTTTTCGAAGCGGTGAACTGGTGAAGCGTATCTCAATGCGACTGGGATGTGGCCGTGGTTTTAGAGTCCACTCAAAATGGCATCGTATAGTGATTTTCTATGGGATTTTCTATGGGATTTTATAGTAATTTAATGGGATATTAATGGGTTATATACCCTCTGGTTATGACTAACATAGCCATGGAAGCCATGGCCCATAGAAATAGATGATTTTCCCAGCTATAGACCTCCATTTATCTTGGGGATTTTCCATGGCAAACTGTTAGTCATAACCAAATGGTAGCCATCGAAACTATGAGGGTTACCAGCTAACTGGTGTTGCTATGGGTCATTTCATGTCATTTCACCATGTCCCAGAAATGGGTACTTCTCCAATAGCAAAATGGCCTGAGACCTGCTATCAACCGTGGCTTGCGGACAATCCACCATGAGATACTTCGATGATTTTCCTATAAACTAGTTCAATCACTATTTAGTTCAGGGATGTCCAATTTTCCCAGCTAGGCCAATTTGGATGATTTCTAAGGGATTTCCACGTCTTTGTTCACATGCCCTGGGCGCTCAGGTTGTGTACAGGTCTGACACCATGGTGCGCCGCAGCGTGGGAGCGTATAGTTTTTTTTTGGGGGACCCCGGGACCCCAATATCCCAACTTATGGAGGTGCACTCACCATGGACATCTCCGTCTTGAATCGGTCAATCTCATCAGTTGAAAAACATGGGCCATGGTTTCCAATTCGCAAGCTGCACCGACCCAGTGGGTCAATTTTTTTCTCCCTAACCACAGATTTTTCAATGTCTGTGTATAGGGCTTTGTACATGTTTCGTATATTTTACTTTATTAATCTTTATTAGCCATCTAAAATATTGGGTGCCCAACTTTGACCTATACTTCTCTGATCCTGTGGGTCGACCCAGTGAGACCTGATGGCTTTGATATGCTTTGATTGTCCCGTGATGGATCCGGGGATCATCGACTTTACTCCATTGCCCATTGCCAATGGTTGTACATCCCATGATATGGGGATATATCCTCTGGTAATTTGTTACATAACTATGGAGAATCACCATAGATTTAAAGTGATTTTTCCCATGAATAGCATGGTGATTTTCCATAGTTGTGTAAGAAATTACCAGAGGGTATATATATATATATATCCCCAAATTGTTTTTCATCCATATTCCCATGATATCCCCAAGCCGCTTGAAACCACAACATGTTGTGCCCTTCAACTCGCCAGAGGGTCTGGCTAGTTGAATCCCCAATGGATGTCATAGCCAGGATGTCCCCGAAAAAAACAGTTCTGTTTGTCGGTTTACACCCCCCCTAAGTACCTAAGTATGGTTATTCCCCCTGGTAAATTAACAGTTGGACCCTGAAAATCACCAATTTTGAACGGAAACTAGTCTTCCAAGCCCCATCTGCCAGGGTCTATGTTAATTTACTGGAGGGTATTCCCCCTAAGGCCCCCAAGTACCTGAGTATGGTTATTCCATGTTGTTCCCCCTCAACTCAAACGTTTTCACCAAGTCATATGCATCAATGTAGCGATGTCGCGTTTAGTTGACGCCGGCTTCACCGAGCTTGAGATTCCCATTGTCCACGCTTGGTGGAACCCGCACAGGTTGAGGGCCGTAGCAGGGATGCCTGGTGAGGGTGTTGCTGGGTAAGACATCATGTAATCTTTGGCAAAAATTGGGGATACCATGGTAAAAAACCAAGCATTTTATGAGATAATGGGATATAACATGATATAACATGATATAACACTGACCAACAATGACCTTCAGCTATACACCTTTACCATCCTTTACCACGATCCAGATTTGCTCTGATGGGATTAACCATGGATTAACCATGGGACGGGCTGCCGTTCATTGCCCACATAGCAATAAAGTTGCCTCTATTTAAAATAGAGAAATAGAGCAGCTCTATTTCTGGAGTTGTAGCCCAAAAAAAGTGTCACGGCATGCTCTTTTGTCCGTTTTTGATTGGGATCCGAAAATACGTTTTTTGGTTGTAGAATGAACGGGTTCTTGGGCGCCTAGAATTCGTTCTTGATCGGCGCTTAAACTTCTCTATATAAAAGTTAATGTATCCTTTTTGCGCGGTGTGCCCGAATATCAACAGTTCAAAACCCTGTACAGTGCCCACCTGCAGACATTGTTCTGACCCATGGCCTTGCTAACGCCAGGGTGAACGCAAGGCACCACAAGATGCTCGGACCGTTGGACCAGCGAATGCAAAGATCTTGGAATCGCTGAGCGCTGTTGTGCCACGCAAGAAGCACAATACACCAGTGCACAAGGACACAACTGCACTGTGTTCAAATAAGCACGTTCACAGTGCTAGCAGTCTGCCACGCCGGCCGCACGCGTTTTCGTCGGTGTGCGGCAGTACGACCACGGGTGCCCTTCTTTTTTCTCGGAAACCTGGCAAGTTTACGCATGATTCACATGCTGCCCCCTTGCGACATTTTCTTGTTCATGCATCGTGTCTTTTTCGCATAGCAAGGGCCGCCCTCGCCAATCCCCACCCCTATCCCTTGGCTCATCTCACCTGGGACATGATCGCCATCCAACTTTGGTCACTTGACGGAGTCTTATGATATTTTATGACGCAGTCTTATGATGTTTTGTGTTTTGTCATGTTTTGTTTATTTCTTTATTTTTGATTGGTTTATTGTTTTTGGTTTAGATACAGTTACACATATGCAGTTTGTAGATATTTGTGCATTTATATATAAAT